ACTCCTGGATCTAGAGTTGTATTCTCTCCCTTTTTGCTGCATACAAATTAAAGCACAAGCTCTCGCCTGTCTCTCCTCTCTTTCTCTTTGTGAGTGAAGGATTAATGCTTTGCTTTAGCTTTGTGTGTTTTCTTCTTCGATATGCATGAGCTATTTATAGGCAATGTCAGAGCTTGGTGGGTTTTCATGAAGGGCAAATTTGGAATTCCATTTTCGAAAGAAAATGAAAATATCAACTGTTTAGCCTTGTTTTAAGTGGGAATGAGAATCATTGGCCATTTGGGTATCGAAGAGTTATTAGGAAACATTATTCATTATTTATTTTTTAATTTATAGAATTAATAAAACTGACATATTATATTATTTGTAATGTCAATTCAAATATATATATATATATATATCAAGTCTAACTGTAATAGAGAAGAATTTGTATAATGAATGACAAACAAAAAGATTCGTCGGTACGTAATTTATATGGTTAGAACGAATTGGAGATAGTGTGGATAAATGCATAATCTTATGTTTAATTCTCGTCTGAACGTACACAATATTTTATATAAAGTCATATATACAAATTACTATAATTTATTTTTTATTGTCGTACCATTTATTTTCACCGACCAAATTTATTTTTAAATTTAATTTTTTTTATTAACTTGAATATTTTAAGATTTATAAAGCAGTAGCCCCCCACCCATGATGATTTTGTTAGTTTAAAAATTGTAATTTAGGGTTAGGGATGCTGCGAACGGCCGAGGTGAATTTGGAATCAAAATGATTGTGAAATGTAATTGTGGGCCGTCCCCTAAGCCCCTCAATAATTGAAAATTTCTCAGTTTTGTCCCCATACAACAACTTTTGTTTGGACTTTCAATTTTTGTTTAATTCTTGAGTTGGCCTACGTTTGATTCTGAATCTTTTGGTGGCCCCTTCCTTTCGTATATACTCTCTAAAATAACCAAACACTTGTATGTCCTACATCATATCACAAATTCACCAATTTCATTTATTATGCCGACAATACATTTAATCTCAATTGTAAGTATCCCATCTTGACCATTGAATCATCATTTCGTCAACCCTCCAACTATAATCTAAGGGTTTATAAAATATCTTGGCTTCGTGTGGTTCAAAATTTGGGGGTTTTAAGATTTTTTGAAAAAAATTAAAAAAAAATTGAATTTGGCGGGTATTACGATTTAGGATTTATAAATTAATAAAATGTCTTCTATATTTATTTTTTTACAAAATACCCCCTATAATAAAACATTAAAAGTTAACAAAAACACCCCCAATCTACCCTCAAATACCCCCAGCCGGCCACCACCACTGGAGGTGGCCGGAGTCACCTTATTGGCATATGACCGGCTGGATCTTGCCGGTCATGCGCCGATATGGCCTTTTTCGGCCAGATCCACGGTGGATTTGGCCAGCAAAGGCTAGATCTACGTCCAGATCTGGCTGTATTTGCTCTTAACGACGGCCAACAAACATCAACGACGACNCTAAGCCCCTCAATAATTGAAAATTTGTCAGTTTTGTCCCCATACAACAACTTTTGTTTGGACTTTCAATTTTTGTTTAATTCTTGAGTTGGCCTACGTTTGATTCTGAATCTTTTGGTGGCCCCTTCCTTTCGTATATACTCTCTAAAATAACCAAACACTTGTATGTCCTACATCATATCACTAATTCACCAATTTCATTTATCATGCCGACAATACATTTAATCTCAATTGTAAGTATCCCATCTTGACCATTGACACATCATTTCGTCAACCCTCCAACTATAATCTAAGGGTTTATAAAATATCTTGGCTTCGTGTGGTTCAAAATTTGGGGGTTTTAAGATTTTTTGAAAAAAATTAAAAAAAAATTGAATTTGGCGGGTATTACGATTTAGGATTTATAAATTAATAAAATGTCTTCTATATTTATTTTTTTACAAAATACCCCCTATAATAAAACATTAAAAGTTAACAAAAACACCCCCAATCTACCCTCAAATACCCCCAGCCGGCCACCACCACTGGAGGTGGCCGGAGTCACCTTATTGGCATATGACCGGCTGGATCTTGCCGGTCATGCGCCGATATGGCCTTTTTCGGCCAGATCCACGGTGGATTTGGCCAGCAAAGGCTAGATCTACGTCCAGATCTGGCTGTATTTGCTCTTAACGACGGCCAACAAACATCAACGACGACCGTTTGTTGGCCGTCGTGACCGACTGTTACGGCCAGATCTTTGGCCTTAGATCTGGCAGGAAAAGGCTAGATCGGCGCACTACCAGCCAGATTCAGCTGGTAGTGCGCCATCCTACCAGATTCCGGCCATTTTTCGACGGTGGTGACCAGAATCTGGTAAATGTGGATTGTTGGGGTGTTTTTATAATTTTTAAAAAAATGTTTAGGGGTATTTAATTAAATTAACAAATTTAGAGGGTTTAAAAAAAATTAAATAATATTGAAAGTAGTATTCCCAAAAATGAGAGTTTTTAGGTATTTTACTGTTTAACTTTTTTAAGAATACTAAAAATAGTATTCCCAATTTTGAACCAAACGAAGCCCTTGTTACTTATGAATCATATGATTAAGTGAATTATTAAACAAACTCATTCATGTTAATACCGCATATTCGTTTTTAAACTAGGTTAAAACTAAAGCTTGACTAATAGGGGTTTGGAATCCAAGCATAAGTAATGAAAATAAATATTTATGTTATTGTTATTGTAATTATAATAATGCGACATAAATGTTTTTGCTCAAACAAAAACACTAGTGTTTATTTATTTTCATACAAGTTACTCAACTCAGTTTGGCATCTCGATGTTAGCTCTTCGCCACCCGAGACTATAGAATGCTTTAAAGGCTAGGTTAAGTGACATGTGAGTTGGGTTTAAAACGTCGTGCAACAGTTTAATCCATATTCACTGTAGGTGTTAGAAGATTGAGAGAATCTTTTCCCACTACGAGATGAGTAGGAAGGTGCTTTTTATGTTGATTTAATAAGTTAAACTATGAATAATTCATATAAATGGTATCGTTTTTCACGGTACATTCCATAATTAGTTTTATGTATATTTAATAATTATTTAAAGTACCGACCTCCAATTGTTTTTCAAAGCTTTGTTCTATTCAATTTGTCAAAGAGAATCTCATTTTGGTACCTAAAGTTGTAATATTGTTGGTGGGTGCTAATGATGAGCCAAATAAACAATTAGGGGCGACCAATTGTTCACAATTAATGGTACATAATTTATTACATTTAAAAAATTTCATATTTATTTAACATTATATTCAACTGCCCTTTACCTTATAATTAAAATATTATTTATTTTTAGTGTTTCCTTTTTCCTTTTTAATTATTAAGCCCACTTAATTTATTCCCACCAACCACTCGTACAATTGAATATATTTTCCTTTTTCTGTTTTTTATTTTATAAATTTAAAACATACAAATGTGATTTATATTGAAAATAAAAATAAAGAAAGAAATAAGCACAGTCAATGACGCTAAGTCCAATATTAATATCACGTCCTACATTATTATCAAATTATAAGCCTTTTATCCTTTCCATTTATTTGAAGCACAAAAAACAAATATATTTTGATTAGATATAAAACCGATAATATTTACTTAATTCAACTCAAATCTTGGTTTCACATAAAAAATATATTTGGGTTCATCTAATTTTGATACTTCTCAAATACGAACCTAAAATTCTCATCCAAATAATAATAATAATAATCAATCATTGAAATTTGAAACAAAGAAATCAAAAGGATAAAAACGTGATGCACATCAACATATGATAACAAATGACTTTATCTTCATCATCCACTTTCGAAATATTGCCAAATAAATATAAGAATTTATTTTTATTTTTTACATTTTAATTGGTTATTATTAATTATAATAAGTTTTCATTTATCTCGTTGCTTTGTTTTTTTAATATTAATGTCATATAATCACGTTAACAATGATAATAATTTGTGAAAATAAAGTTTCATGTGTTTCATAAATTCTGGATTTGAAAATTAAACCATTTAAAAGGAATTTTAGGTACAAATTAATTTGACTGTTTAATTATTTATATATAAAATTAGAAGTAAAAATATCGAAGGTCAAAAGTGACTTTTGGCTAACGTGGGTGGAGGGCCAAAATCAAGTGAAATCAGAAACGAAACATGTCCTGCTTTCATTGAAACTACAAATAATTGATAAACGATGTCGTTTCGTCTGCTTCTGAAACTACAAATAATTGTTATTGTCACCTAGCTCTGGATTATATACCTTCACAGTTATGTGTCTTCCTCCTATTGGGTTACCCGGCACCTGTCAATCATGAAATGTAGGAGTTCATGATCCATGGTCATGTGTGCTACCATGATTGATCCATCTGGCAATATCAGAATAGATCATATCCGAAAGTTCATCTTCCCATAAACCCAATAACGAAAGAACAGATCATATCGAACAAATTGACAGTCACAATTTTTTATGTATGTAAAGAGTAAAGACATGATTCGTGTATTTAGTGAAAGTCTTGGGCACAAAATGCAAATATAAAAAGAATGTATTAGCTGCCCTCATAATTCATTTTGTCCCCTCTCATAATTTTAGTTTACATAATTGCATTAATAAAATTAGCCATTGCTAAATAAATAAATAAATGTATAATTTTGAGAATAGAAAAATGAACAGAAATCATATAATTGTTATTTACCTCGAAAGAAGTAGGAGGGAAATTTATTAATAAAAGCACAAAAACATACACTTAATATAAAAATACAATATCATCCATGCATAAGAAACAACAAAAATACAACCAAACTAAAAGAAAAGAAAAGAGCAACACACCACCCATGAAAACAAACCACAACAAAAATACAACCAAACTGAAAGAAAAGAAAAGAGCAACACACCACCCATGAAAACAAACCATCATTAACGAGACAATTAGTTGGTACCACCATAAATGTCATTGTACAAACCTTGCATTATTCATCAATAAGACGAACCACTAGAACATGAGCAATCTTCAACTCGTTATTTCTGCAGCTTTCAATCAGAGCAGGACCATCTTCAATCCTCAATTCCTTGAGGGAAGTAAGGCGTTCTATCCCTTCTGGAAGAGATGACAATTTGTGGCATGTTGTAATCTCAAGTTTTTCAAGTGATGTGAGATTTTGAAACCACTCTGGTAGTGCTTCTAAGTTTCCACAATCTTTAATCGACATGTACTTTAGAGTGTGAGCAGATACTTGAAGAAGAAGCTGGGGCAAATCCACCAATGATTTTAAATCATTAATTATGAATTTTTTAAGACTCAACCTCAGCTCACGATCTTCTCCTTGCAATTCCATCTTCAAATTAATCTTGGGGCACCTCAAAATCATTAACATCTCTAATTTTGTCAAGTATTTGATAGTATCAAGTAACGAGGTCATAGAACAACCATCTAGAAACAACTTTCGAAGGCTTTTCAGACCTTGCATCCCTTCACACAAACTCCGTAGCCTCTTGCAGTCAAATATGCACAAATATCGAAGGGAACTCAAACATCCAATTCCATTTTCTAGAAGAACCTCCTCTTGTGTGGTTATTTCCAAGTATCTAAGGCTAATCATCTTTCGTATCTTATTAGGCAACTTCTTGAGCTTAAAACAACCAGTAAGTCTTAACATTTGCAAGTTCTGAAGTTCACAAATAGATTCAGGGATCTTCTTCAATGAATTATTATAAGCAAGATTAAGGTACCTCAAATGTCTCAATGTACCGATAGAATCTGGCAACACTTTGAAAAGTATACTACACAAGTGTAGTAGTCGGACGTACTTGAATTTGGAGATATCTTTTCTAATAAATGATCCAATAATACGTGCATCTCCGTATTTCTCTGCTGCTGGAAGACAATGCTTCGAACACTCCTTGAGTTATCAACTATGAGTTGTAGAAATTCTTCACCACATAACTCTGTGTCACCATGTGAAAAATGCCGCAATTTCCCATCAACTTTTTGGCTTCCGAAATTTATGAATGCGGACTCACCTTCTGTCATTGATATTGCAAGATCATGGATAAGATCATGCACTTTAAATGTCCAACAACAATCACGATCCAAGAAATCCTCTAAGAAACCCCTTAACCATAAAACTTTCATATATTGATCAGCAACATCTTCTAGCTCTTCAGTTTTATCAAAGGTTTTAAGAAGTCCAAGTGCCATCCAATAGTAGGCCACATAATCGCTGTCATAATTATAATCCTTTGGAAACAAGGAAAGATAAGTAAAACATCGCTTCAAGGGGGATGGCAAATGATCATAACTCAATTTCAATACTGGTAAGATGTCTTCATTATCTTGATCCACTTGCCAGATGTCATTTTTTTTTATTTTCAACCACTCACGTTCCTCCGTGTTTGCGTAAAGTAAGCTCCCTAAAGATCTCACAGCCAATGGAACTCCTTTACATTTTCCTACAATGTCCTTCCCAATTTCAATGAGCCTTGGAAAATCTTTCCCTTCTCCATCTTTGAACGCATACTTCTTAAATAATGACAAGGATTCCTCATTGGAAAGACCTTGCATAAAATGCGAGGGACCAGTGCTCATTATTTCTGCAACTCTTTTACTTCGCGTGCTCACAATAATTTTACTTCCATTGACACCATTCACCAGTAAGTCTTTCAATTCAATCCATTTCTGCGGCTTCTCATTCCAAACATCATCCAAGACAAGCAAAAACTTTTTACCTGTCAAAATTTTCCGTAGACGCTTGGGAATTTTATCTCCTTTTAACTTATTACAATCCTCATCTGTTGTAGAATAAATAATTTCTTTCATCAATCTGGTGACATCGAAGTCATCTGATATACATATCCACATCTTTAATGGAAAGAACTTATTTACTTTTTCATCGTTATAAACCATTTTAGTAAGAGTGGTTTTACCCAAACCCCCAATTCCAACTATTGAAAGGACAGAAACATTATTGTCGGTTGGTTGCATTAAAAAGCTCATGATCTGTTTTTTATCATCCTCTCTTCCAATAGGACAAGAAGCTCCCAAGAAGGGGTCAGTCTCCCTCCCCTTTAAAATTACAGGCCTAACTTCAACAGGAGTACTCTCAATAAGAGAAAATCTACTCCTATCACTTGCGATCTGATCTAGCCTTTCTCTAATCTCCTTGATTTTATGACTAATTTGACATCGAAGAACAACAGGATTAGAGCTTGAAAAGAATTGACTTACCTTTCTTATTGTGCTCCTCTTTTGTCTCACCACTTCCCTCTTGGGAGCTTGAAACTCGAATTCTTCTAAAACGTCCTCAGCATCAAGGAGAACATCCTTAAGCTTCCTAAGCCAGTCACGCAGCTGATCATTGCATGCCTGCTTTTTCTCAGCATCCGAGATCACGGCTTTGATAGAGCTTAGGGTTCCCTCAAGTCTTCTTAAATCACTTTCAAGATTCCACAACAAGGACACCTGCCGACCCACAAGAGAGCCTATCTTCGTCAGAACTTCAGTCGCAATGTCAAATACAATTGATTCTGCCATTTTCTCTTAGAAGAAACAGAGAGAGAGAATAAGGTAGTTTGAAGATGATTGTGAAGATAGGTGTGAAATCAGCTTCATCTCTAACAAGGAGAGGAAATGGGTAAAGCACGAAAAGAATCCAAAAAACTTGTCTAACAAGAAGAGGAAATGAGTAAGGCACGAAAAGTATCCCACAGAGCCAAAACTTCTCCAGAGAAGAAGAGAATAATTAGAGCGCGAAAAGTATATATTGGAAGCCAAAAACAGTTTTATTGGTTTTGAATTTGGCAACTCCTCTGAAAGGAAAATTTATTGAAGGTGATAAAATGTGACCTCCCCTCTGTGAACCATCACATGGCAGCATTATGGTTGCTGAAATTAAGAGTTGAAGCTATATATATATTATTAATTCTTTCTTTATTTCAATATGTATATCAAATGGACGAGGCAATAAAAATCAATGATATTATACACTATGGTCCCTCTACAATCTTTTCCCTCTACTAAGGCAGCAGGAAGGATTCTCTACAGACTCAAAATCAGGTCCTTGCATCAGAGATGAGACTTCCAATAACTTTATTTGTAAATAGAATTAATCCACATAAACAATTGGGGTGTCCAATTCTTCACAATTAATGGTACATATTTTATACTTTTAGTGTTTCGTTTTTCTTTTTAATTATTAATTGTAGCCCACTTATTTATTCCAATCAACCTCCTCGTGCAATTGAATATATTTTTCTTTTTTTCTTTCTTATTTTATAAATATAAAAATATTATATATATTGAAAATAAAAATGAAGAAAAAAATAATCCTTTCATCCCTTTAATTAATTTGAAGCACAAAAAACAAATATGCTTTGATTGGATCTATAATTGATAATATTTACTTAAATTCAACTCCGATCTTAGATTCAAGTAAGGAAATAAATAGAAAATATAATTTCATGTACAAATCTCAAACTGTGTAATATGTAATGCAATGGACCTACAGAAATCTAAAATTCCAGAATTTCATGAAATGAAGATGATTACAGAAGTTGAAACTTGAACGTTATGGTTCTCTACATTGGAAGGAGTAGGCTTTCAAATGGAACCGCACCTTCATCCGTCTAACAAGAATTTGTCGATGTCCTACAGAAATCTGTGGTGTCCTTATCCAAAGGTCCATCCGCGAAGGGCAGCAATAAGCTGCTTCATGAATTCTTTGATCTGCAAATGTCTGAGAACAAAAATCATGTGTCACGAGTAAGGAATGCGAGCCAGGGCTTAAATCATCGCAGAGTGAACAAATAATAAACGCAACCGCATTTAGTTTTATTTTAAGTACTACTGATAACAGATGAAACCTTCGCACAACTGCCGATAAAATATCAGCCAAGCACAAATTGTAACAAAGAACATTAAACAAGAACATTATGATTGTCTGAGTAAAATTAACAATAACAGACTCATTAAAAGACTGGAACAAGAAACCAGATAATCGCACACAGAATCACTACTCTAAATTGTTTTTATCAGAATGGGGCTTCCCTGCCTCAAGTTAGAAAATGGACAATTCAGCAACCAGATAACCAAGACTAATAAATTCCACAAAATCACATATCATTCATGATCAGAAATTATTCAAATGCAAGCTTTGCTAGTTTAAAAAGAATAAAAAAGCATATCACAAAATTACCAGCAAAATCTTGGTCATCATCTGTGCCACGGCTTACTGCAAATAAGTCAAACAAGCTATTTCACTTTCGATCTAGTTTATGCAAATCAGTCTCCTACTCTTCTTTCAAGCCGGAGCTTCTCTATCCCTAGACCAAACCCTGCTCAAATGCTTCTCAGGCTCTAGAAACATGTCCCTGCTCCTGTTGCTCCCACTCCTTGCATATTTCAACTTTGAGAGCAATGCGTTATCTTCTTCACTGATTTCAGATTTCTCTTTTTAGCACTATCTTCAACTCCCTCGCCACTGCTTTGATTTCATTTAAATTATTTCTATGCCTAGAAAAAATAATAGGGAAACAAAAAAATCTCATTTTAGAATGAAAAAACTCATAATTTTGAAATAAAAGAAAAAGAATATTTTTTCAGGCTCTGCTTCTTTGATGATTTTAAAGGTCTTAGGCTACGAAAAAACATGTCTTTGATAAAGCAAGTAAAGAAAACATATGATGCCTCGATTTCCTCATGAAAAGCATTATTTTCGGTCCTGCACTGACATTGATTCAAAAATCAAAACTTTATGATTGAAATTCTAATTATGAAAGAATAAAAGAATTTCATGCAAAGAATTACATTTAGTTTTTCTTAAATTTCACCTTGATACTTTGATTGAATATACTCCATGTATATGATCTATATTTACGTCTTTTCTATCTTCATTTTCAGTTCATCTTTATAACCTAGATACATGTTTCTCTTAGCAAAGGACTTTAATTTTTTTTATCTAATTGAAGAAAATTCTTATTCATGTAGTACTTTGATTGAGATAATTAAGAAACAAACACATGAAACTTTGAAACTTTACAAGAAAGAGCTCAAAATGATTGGAGGAAGACGAACCAGATTGAAGAAGAAGTGAAGCAACTGAGGCTGGCGCTGGCCTTATGTGCCGTCGGCTGCGGCGGCGGTAGCAGTGGAGGAAAGAAACTGGAGTTTGAATTTGGTATGCGTTTGCTTACTTTTCATCTCCCCTCATATTTTCTAAGGAACTAGAACTCCCATGAGATTTTCAAATATAACAAAAACCTCCCTAGACCACCATGAATTAAATGGATTGTTCAATTTTTTATTTTATTTTTTTAAAAGTTACTCATTATATATCCACCCCTTCAATATGTTTATGGGCATTTCATTTATTTATTCTTTGTATGTTTTAGGGCTTTTAGATTAGTGGTTGGATCGAAGATCTTAATTTTCATTCTCACCTCAAAATCAATTTTGAGAGGAGTTTTTTATACTTGTCTCGACATTTCGAAACATCATTCTCAACTCGAATGACTCAAGGGTCCAATTTTGTGGAGAATTTTGTCATCCTTATGAGTCATGACATACATATTAGACGAGTTAGACGAACAAAATAACTAGGTTGATGGGTCTTAAAAAGAGTTTTGAGGGGGTTTGAATAACGACACTCATTTGATAGGGAGAACATAAATGTTACTCATTCCATAATATTATGGGCTAATTTAGTGAACCTCTTTATCCTTAGATGCACTTGGGCCAAGTTTGTTAGATGAGCCCAACACAAATCCAAGACTAGTCCAATAAAAGTTGCAAGCAAACCCAAATTATTAAAACTGTCAAAACCCAAACCAAGAATCCAACTATACATTGTTTAGTGGAAAAGGGTCATCAGACTATAAGCAAAATCATTTCTCAATTAGTATCAAACCTTTTAGCTAATTAATTTCATAAAATAATTTATGAACCCTAATCCCAATAGAGGCATATTATATATAATACAATATATTATGTTATATACTCTTGAATATGCCTTCAGGGATTCAATATATTCCTTAATAAAAACTTTAAAAGTTTTTTCTTTTTTTGTAAAATGAAGTAGATAATATGAGATTTAATTAGTCCTTTATTTAATAAAGCTTCTACAACACAGAACAGGGAAATACCCATTCTGCATGCGTCACCTTTTGTTCCAAAAATGGTTGACTAGTCCTTTTTCTTTGGTTTTTTCATCCTTGTTTTCTTTTGGATATGGTGTTTGTGTTTGATTCGGCTGTCTTCTTTCCTTTTTTTTTTTTTTTTTTTTTAATGGAGGTGTTTGGATCAATTTACACATACTTTAACTAATTCCATGGAACAAGGACGTAACCAAGATTTTAAGTCAGTAGATTCAAAACATCAAAATTGATAGATTTACAATAAAATATATACTAAAGTAATAAGCATAAAAAATATACTTTTAAAAGTTATATATACCAGATTATCAATTATACAATTGTCTTCAACAATTTTTCATATTTTGAAAACGTCGCATAATTGTTTCATTGACAATTCCATCAAATATCTCTCTCTTAATATATGTAATAAGACAACCCTTTAACAATTGATCTCACATTCGATTCTGTAGTCGATTTTTCACAATCTTCATCGTAGAAAATGCTCTTTCAACACTTGTAGTTGCAATAAGTAATATCATTGCTAATTTCACAAGTAAAAAACTAAGTGATATACCATGTTCTTCTTTGTTTGAACCAACTTTTTAGCAACAACACCAATTTCATTTAATGTCAAAGAATTATGATTAGAGCACATATCAATAATATAAGCATCCAACCACTACAATAAAATTGTTGTACGGTAACATGCAAAAAGTACTACCGTAGATAAACAATAGCATTTTTTAGCATGCTATTACAACCCATGTTACTAAAAAATGAGGTTTTGGTAACAATTTTTGCATGTTATTAATAATTATTTAAATTTTATTGTTGAGTATATTATAAAACTTGTTTGTAGTTACAGATGATTTTAGCTAACAGTTCTTAAATGCTATAAATTAGTTTTTCGTAACATTCTTAAACTTTTATAGTTTACTTTTTCGTAACATTATTAAAATATTATATATTTGTAGTCAATAACATTTTTAAAATGTTGTAGATAAGTTTTTTATAATATTGTTAAAATACTATAGAATAATTATTAGTAAAAATATAATATGAGAATGAGAGAAAATAAAGAAGAGAAAAAAGTTTAAAAAAGTGTTAATTAATAACTCATTTTATGAGGTCTACATAAAATTAAATGAGATTAAAATTATAAAATCTACATAACATTAATACCTTTTTGAAATTTATAAAAAATTGAATGGGTTCAATTAAATCTATAATTTATTAAGTGATTACGTGTCTGTATTAAAACTCTGAAATTAACAATCAAATAAATTTATTTAATAATTATCTTTATTAATAATTTAAATAAACCAAATTCGAGACTTTTTAAATAATCCACTGAAATGTCTCTTGGCTGACGAACAAGTTACAGTAGTTTGATTTGGCTGTCTT